TTGAGGTCGTTTCTCTCTCCAGAGTGATGTGCTGGACACCAGTGTTCTTTCTTAGCTACCCTGTTGTGTGAGAAATCATGTCCCCAGGCTTTGAGGGCTACCCATACTCACCTGTGTCTGGCTGCACTTAATCTGTGCCTGTCAAGACAAGGGACACAAAGTGTGAGGGGCACCCTGGCTAGGAGTCCCAGTAACTCCTCATTGTGATCCAGCAGGACTCTTTATGGGCACTTCATTCCTTTGCAAGCTGGAGTCTTGGGGTGGTAAAGAAGGTCTGGGACTGGCATTTGACCACCTTTTCTGCTGTATTCCTACTTCCCACAGGCTCCCTGCCTGTCTCGTAAGTGGTTCAGGTAACTTTGACTCTGCTATGCCCACCTGCTCTGGGCATTCCCTTCAAGGCAATGAGCTCAGCCAGCTGGTAAATGAGAGCAAGGCCATTAGGCTCACAGTGAAGTATGAATGACCAGCCTCCTCAGGGGATTTGGCTGTTGACAACTCTGAAAATTCCAAGCCATATGATGATGTAAAGAATTCCAGTCATTATTAAAAGACATTTATTTTTAGAGTCGGGTGGAGAATTTTCTTAGTGCGTTATTAGCCAGGCCTGCTTAGGTGACCTTGAGCTACAAATACGGAAATCCTGAAAAGGCCAAATTCATTGTGACCTTTTCCCCATTTGCCTCCAGATGGGCTTCCCAGTCCCACTTCCCGATTCTGTCTTTATCTCCCTTCTGCAACTTTCCCATCATGCTCAGCTTGCACCTGCCTGCTTATCTTTTCTTTTCCCTCCTTCCTCCTTTCAAATCAATGGAGCATCCACTACACTGTGCATTGTGGGTAAAAAGGAGTAGGACATCCCTGCTCTCAGGGAACTCTGAGATCACTAGTGAGGCATTTGTGGTCTTTATGAAAAGATTTCAGTGTACTGGGTGAGGTCTGTAAGCAGAGTGGTGCCATGTGCCTACGGGAGAGTCCCTGAGTGGGGTGTGGAGGGCCAGGAAAGGAGGTCCAGGAGGAATGCTGTGACCTGGGTCTTAAGGCTTAAGTAAATGTGAGCCAGTAAACTGATGGAGGAAGACATTCTAAGGAAAAGGCATAGTCCATGTGAAGGCCTGACTTAACAACTGAGAACCCAATAGTTCAAAATGGCTGGAGCTTCACACAGAATATGGGAACGCAGAGGAAAAGCCAACCAGCAAGACTTCTGCACTCCACGTTTGCTAGTCTGGGTCTTACTGTTTTTTTAGTTTCATCTGATCAAAAGAATTAAAAGAATACATGCACATGACTTAAAAACCACATGGCAGGTATAATGAAGAGTAGTCGTGTGGGGGCCTGCCTCTCCAGATCCAAAGTCTTATTCCCTGGAGGCAACCCAGGTTTTACTTCTTCAAGTTTTTCATTCCTGTTGTTATCTCCATGCTACTGAGTAGTACACTTTCATCTTTATTCATTAATTAAATCTATGCATTACTGGAATACGAATTATTGTTGGAATATATGGAATATCTGCTATGGTAAATATCCAGAGAGTTCCCTCCACTCCAATCTCCCCTTTATTTCTATTCTGAAGGCTTCAGGGAGCTAGGAAAGGGAGTGAGCAGCTCAGCCATGTGATGCCATTTGCATTTTAGAAAGACCAATCCAGAAACACGGTGACTAGTGGGTCGAATGAGGGGACATGGTTTCATGATAAACCAGATGACAGATGACATGGGTTTGCATTAAGGGAATAGTGCTGTGAATTGAGGAGGGGAGCCTTTGAGAAAGAATTGAGAGACTGAATGAACAGGACCTTGAGAATGAGTGTCTCTTCTACTTTGTCAAACATGACCTTGATTCCAAAATCCTTTCATAAAGACCACAAATCCCAAAAGCTGTGGATCAGCGTTTCAACAGAGAAAATCTTGAATACAATCTCCAGAGAATAAAGTTCTCAAAATTCAAGGGAAGACTCAATTCACAAAGGTAGTTAATTAAGGAGGAATTCTTATTATAAGTTCAAAGACACCAATAAGTCATTTATCAAAATTCAATGTTCTTCTCGAGTTTTTAAATGTTTTTTTATTTATTTTGAGAGCAAGGGAGAGGCAGAGGGAGGGAAAGAGAGAAACCCAAGCAGGCTCTGCACTATCAGCACAGAGCCTGATCTCACAAATCATGGGATCATGACCTGAACAAAAATCAAGAATTGGATGCTTAACCACTGAGCCACCCAGGTGCCCTGGTCCTGTCCATTTTTAAACCACTGAAAGATTTTACAAACAAAAGAGTATCTATTGCAAACCAAGAATCAACATTAAGCACATTGGTGTGAAACACCAGAATTCCTTTCAAATCAAAAGAAAAACAAAGTTTTTTAAAAACCCAATAGTTCCTTTATGTTTTTGTCTTTATTGATGTATAATTGATAAAGAAAGTTGCAAGGTCCATAAAGTGTACATTGAGGTGATTTGGAATACGTATACACCATCTAGTTCATTCTCTAAAGTGTACATTGCAGAGATTTGGAATACATATACACCATGAAAGGATTTCCACCATCTAGTTCATTAACACACTCATCACTGCACATATTTATCTTTTTTCTTTGCTTTTGGTGAGAACAATTAAGTTCTATTCTCTAAGCAAATTTCAATTATAGAATGCAGTGTAATTAACTACAGTTAAGTTTTACATTAGATTCTTGGAGACTATTTAGGTTATAGCTGAGAGTTTGTGCCTTTTTACCAACTTCTCCCTATTTCTTTTACCCCACCATCCCTGGCAACCACTTTTCTACAATCTGTTTCTAGGATTTTGACTTTATTTTTTTTTTAAGATTCCACATATAAGTGGTACTATGCAGTGTCTGTCTTCTCTGTTGGGCTTATTTTACTTAACATAATGCCCTCAAGGTCCACCCATGTTGTCACATATGGAAGCACTTCCTTCTTTCTTGTGGCTGAATGATATTTTATTGTATCTATGTCCACCGTATCTTCTTAATCCACTCATCCATTGATGGACAGTTCTTTTACATGGTTGAGCCAAGGAAAGAGGGGTTGGTGGCAGTTCTCCAGACATACTCAACCAAGGTTCAAAGTTTAAAAAAGAATTCAAAGTTTCTGTACAAACACATATATGGCACAGATGCAGTTATTTTATTTCTATATTTAATGTTATTTTGTTTCTGTATTTAATATACTTATTATTAATCCTACTACCCGCTACCTGATTCACAAAAGAGGTTGGAATGTTTTATAATTAAAGAGAGATACTACAGGAACATTAAGATAAAGAAAACGAATGAGGCCCATGAAGTGAATTTCAGGACAGAGGAGGGGAGATTCAGTTAGAGCTGAGGATTTAAACAAAACAAAACAAAACAAAACAAAACAAAACAAAACAAGATTCAAACTCAGAGCCTCCTTGCAGGCAAGGCAATAGGGAAACTTCCCATTAGATGATAAAATAAAATTGACCGGATTGTCAAGAGAACATCAATTCTCTAAACAATAACAGCAACAGCAAAAACAAAGTAACGGAAGTCTAGCCACAGTTTGTTAGATCACGTTGCTCACCAAGCACATAGACATCAGCTCTTTTTTGGTCTCTCCTGGTCCCATATGATTTACCTGAAACATTTTCACCCTTTATTGGTAAGTCTGGTTCTACTCTTCCATAAAGCTATATCTTTGTCTTCTTCTGAGCTGTCACTTTCTGAGCATCCATGGGACTCCTGGTGGGTACCTTCTTTATATCGTAGATCACCTCCTAATACATAGCATCTCTTCCTATTTCAAAACTATGTTTCTCACTGGACCAGAGAATATGCACTCCAAGTAGCCTGCTGAGAGAAGCTCAGAGGTTCCAGTTTAAAAGCAGAGCATAGATGATTAGCATTCCTTATGCCTAATGAGGGATCACATCCTTCCTAGCTTAGATCATCAACTTTTCCACTGGCCTCAGGGACTCTCAACTCCTTTCTTGGGTGCATTACTCAGAGAGGTGACTTTAGAGAAGAGAGTTCCTAAAATTTTGAAGTGTACTTGAATGTGTTGAAATTACTGGTACAATTTCACGGGGGGATTACATATATATGAAACATCGTTTTCTGGCAACAGGGTCCACAGTCTTAATGATATTCTCCAATGGACTCATAACCCCCCAAAAGCTGAAGATCATTATTGCAGCATTCTTTCACAGCATATGTGTAATGTTGTAAGCCCTTTACTGTGAAATAACATACCCAGAAGAAGGATGGTCTTGTTTTATCTTGACCTTAGGGCTATACCTTCTATACCTACTGCTCAGGATAAGGTGGCAACCCTTCCTCAAAACTAAAGTCCATTCAGTGTCTCTAACCCTTTTTTTCTGACCTTTTCTATATTGCCACATCATAACAAGATCACAATGAATATATATATCTATAGTGGTTTATGGCTTATAAAGTACATCCAGATACATCATCTAATTTAATATCCACAATAACACTAAGATATAAACATTAGAGCCTCCATTTTTTAGAACTACCAAAACTGGTAAGTTCTGGGTCCATTTTGGAATCTGAATTCTGTGATGTATTTATAGTCTAGTCTACCTTCCAAAGACCACATGAGATTGGAAAAGTTGGACTTTCAGCGTAGCTGAAACCATCCCAAGCCACTAATACCTCTTCCTGTTGGTTTAGCCTTCTTAACTTGATGCTCTGAAATGCACGTCTCTTGGTACACACATCATAAATTACCGCTCACAATATATATTACAGGGATTTTCTAGGGGGGTGGGTCCAGTTATTTAGAATGTATATTAAGCCTTAAATACATAGACTAATGGCCTGGTCACAAAGTTAAGCACAATTGACAAATACAGTGCAGGGGAGGAAGGTAATGGCGGTGGTAAGGGGAACTTTTCTCCATCCAGATTGGACTTTAGTTGCTTTAAACCACTTGCCCCCAAAGACTGGATTCTTAATCCATCAAAAAATACTTCTTACCCTGAATTTACTCCCACAGGAGGCCTATGTGACCCAGCAGGATAAAATCCGTCTGGTGGGGGAGCTGGTGACCATCACGGGGGCTGTGATCATCCTGCTCCTGGAGGTGAAGTACAACCAAGGTCCATGCTGAGGCCATCCTCCTGGGGCCCCAGACTGAACTGCAGTCCACATTGTCTTTTTGTTTTACTGGCCTCTTTCCAGATCCCAGACATCTTCAGAGTTGGTGCTTCTCGCTATTTTGGACAGACTATCCTCGGGGGACCGTTCCATGTCATCATGTGAGTGTCTCTTCCTTTCAGTTCCATGTCTTTCCTCACCAGAATTGTTCCATGTCTCCCATTCACTCTTTGGGACCTAGACTTCAGTTGACTCTCATTTCTAGGGATTTTTGTTCAGTGGGCTCATATGTGTGTTTTGGGTATAAGGACTAAGCCTCAGTAGGTACCACCCAACTCATTACCATGCTAGAGAGGACCTAGAATATTTCCTCTCTCATTCCTTGTTCCTTGCCCCCTCTCCCAAGCATCACCTATGCCTGCATGGTGCTGGTGACCATGGTGATGCGTCTCTCCAACATGAACGGGGAGATGGTGCCCATGTCCATTGCCCTGGTGCTGGGTTGGTGCAGTGTTATGTACTTCGCTCGAGGATTCCAGATGCTTGGTCCCTTCACCATCATGATTCAGAAGGTCAGTGCCTTCCCCAAAGCTTCCTCTGGCATCAGCAATAGGATCTTTCCAGACAGAGGGAGGAGGTGGAGCAAGGGGGCCTCCAGTTTAGCAAGATAGCTGCAGAGAAGCAGGTGAAGAAGGGTCATTAAACCCTCCATCTCCTTCCCTTTCCTGTAGATGATTTTTGGAGACCTAATGCGTTTCTGCTGGCTGATGGCTGTGGTTATTCTGGGATTTGCCTCAGGTAAGAGCACTATTCCCTCCACTACTAGGTCATGGGATCCAATTCTCCAGAAAGTTCACTCACTCTTGCTCTCAGTTTTCATTTACACTCTCTTTTGCTTTTTTCCCCCGGTGGATATTGAGTCAAAAAGCACACTCATATTCGTAGGATCAAGGTCACTTAAGTTGACCTGGGAGGTAAACCATGTGCTCTGAATTTATGGGCCAATAACATTATGTTGACTAACAGCCCACAAGATTTTTAAAAAGAGATAGATAAAGGACTTTAGAGAGACAGGGACATTAAACAGGAAAGATTGGCCAGTTGTGGAGCTTAGAAAACTATGTGGACAAACAGAGTTAGTGCTATATTTAACTCTTCTGTGTCTACACTTCAAAAGAAGAAACAGAGAATTCAATAACACGTAACGTCTTTTTTTCCTATGTGCATTTGAAGTTGGGAGAAAAAGAAAGAATTCAGCAAGGAGATACAGAAAATGACTTTGGAGAGTTTGAGGATGAGAGAGGAAAACGGAAGAAAAAGAGGTATAAAGAGAGATTGGGGAAAGAGGGAGAAGGGACTTAGTCGCAGCCCAAGGCACACATGGAATGTCGAGGTAGAGAGAGGAACACAGCCAGAAAATAACAGCCAGGGACAGAGGTAGGGTGAAGGCAGTGCAAAAGTAGGAGAAAGTTCCTACGGAAAGGCACTGAGAGAAAGGAAGAGCGGTGAGATATGGCAACTCAAGTCTAGTCTTCTATGTCTGCCACCAAATATCCGTAAGACAAGGGCATGCCCTAGGCAGTATCTGAAGACCTCTCAACTCTAAAAATGGCCTTTTAGAACAACAGGCACTATTCTTTTCCTAGGAATTCCCATTTAACAGGAATTCCCACCCAACAGTAGACCAAAAAAAAAAAAACAAAAAAAAAACCCCCAAGATCTCAGCTATGAAAAGGTAAAACTGTGGTAGTTTTGCCTATTTGGAAGTGTTCCTTATGTATTCTTTCTTCCCACCCTCTACCCCATCTGCACACATCATGAATTACTGCTCACAACATGTGTGCATATAGTTAAACTAAGCACATGTGGTGTATAGTACATGGATGTTATACAGCATATAGTATAAGTCATAATGACAGAGTAGTTTTCTGTAGATGTCCTATACCCAGGATCTCTTAAACCATCTCTTCTTGGTTGTTGCACTTGCCTTTCCTGTCAGTAAGTAGAAAATTGATGTTTTGTCATAGACCCTATTTTCATTCTTTTTAAAAAATTTTTTATGTTTTATATATTTCTGAGAGAGAGAGAGATATAGCATGAACAGTGAAGGGTCAGAGAGAGAGGGAGACACAGGATCTGAAACAGGCTGCAGGCTCTGAGCTAGTTGTCAGCACAGAGCCGGACACAGGGCTGGAACCCACTAACTGTGAGATCATGACTTGACCCAAAGTCAGACGCTTAACCGACTGAGCCACCCAGGCGCCCCTACGACAACCTTATTTCCATTCTTGAGATCATTTTGTTTATATTTCAGTTTCCCATACAGAGAGAAGTATTTTGAAGGTTTTAATGCTGTACTAATGTTCCAGGATGCCCAATATTATCCAGTAGGCTACACACTGAGCAGGGAAATCTTTTCCATGACAGTCCAAGCTCATCTATGGAATCTTAGAGTGATGGACGGTTATCCAGGGGCCACTTAGAAATTTTTAAAAGGTGTTTTTCTTTTGGCCAGTTCATATGGTCAGTTCTTTAAAATTGTTGGAAATTCCATGCATCCTTGTAACAAATTATCTTTTCTTTATTTATTTTTAATTAATCAATTAATTAATTTTTAAAGTTACATCCAAGTTAGTTAGAATATAGTGCAACAATGACTCCAGGAGTAGATTCCTTAAAGCCTGTTACCCATTTAGCCCATCCCCCCTCCCACAGCCCCTCCAACAACCCTCTGTTTGTTCTCTGTAGTTGAGTCTCTTATGTACAAATTATCTTTTAAATATTTGATTTTCTAAAATGTGAAAAGCAGTTAGGTGACTTATTTTGTGTATAGCTATTATATATATAATACACACACATACTTCAAGTACACATTTTGCTAAATGGCTGGGTATTACTATTGTCCAGAGTGATGAACTTGGTCATAAGACATCCTAAGGTTAGCCAGATGTAAAATGTGACTTATATGAATACAGTCACAAATGTACATGTATGGGCGTGTATGTGTATCTGCAAGTGTGTAAATGTATGGAGATATGACCAGGCCCATGCTTATTGTGATACTTCCCTATTTCCCCATCTCCATGCCCACTTCCTGGGCGGAGCAGCGTTTTATGTCATTTTCCAGACAGAGGACCCATCCAATCTGGGGCACTTCTATGACTATCCCATGGCACTGTTCAGCACCTTTGAGCTTTTCCTCACCGTCATTGATGGGCCTGCCAACTACGAAGTGAACTTACCCTTCATGTTTGGCATTGTCTACTTTGCCTTCACCATCATTGCCACGCTGCTCATGCTCAACCTATTCATCGCCATGATGGGTGATACACACTGGCGGGTGGCCCATGAGCGGGATGAGCTCTGGAGGGCCCAGGTGAGTTTATTAGTGTTAGTCTTACTAAGGGAAAGAGAATGGAGAGAAAAATCTAAGTGGAAAATGTTATGGTATATGACTCTTAGGAGAGTCACAGAATAATCCTGTGGGGTTGTCACCTCAACAAAGTTACATTTGGATCGAGGAGGAGACAAAAGAGGGTAAAATAGTACAGGAGGGGTAGATTCAACACCCAAGAGCTGAGGTGTTGATCACAGGGGAAAAGTGGATCTAACAGTCAACCTCAAGTCCAGTGAGAACTAGAGACTGTCTTGGCTTATATATTCTAGTGGTTTATTTTAATTTTTTAAATTTTATCTATTTTTTAAACATTTTTTATTTTTAAGTAATCTCTACACCCAGCATGGGTACTTTACTAACTAAGCAAGCCAGGCACTAGCTATATATTCTAGTTTTAAATTTTCATTTTTAATCTTATCTTCTATTTGCTTTCCCCTGTTTCTCTACGATTTTTTCTTTTTATCAGTGAAGATAATACAATTTTAGGATTGGAAGTACCTTTAGTGGTTCTCTAGTTGAGTTCCTATTCAGTGATTAATTATTCATTGGTCAAAGGGTCATTTAATATCTTTAATGCTGATTTAGGACCTTATTATCATATGGATTTGGGTAGTGGTTGGGGAAGAAGAGAGCTTTTTCATATTTCAGAAATTTTTGTTATTAGAAATGTCCATATTGTATTGAGCTAAAGCCTATATTTCTACAATTCCACTCTTTGGCCCCAGTCTTTTCTTCTCATATACACAGAACACACTCTTCTGTATGAACACCATTCAAACATTTGAATGAATGCAGCTATCATTTATCCCCTCAGACTTCCCATTCCCTTAACAATAATTATGTAGAGCCTGTTATGTGTTGGGAAATGTCTAGGAACTGGGGACAGCAGCATGAACACAACAGATGCCATCTGTGTCTCATGGAGCCCACAGTCTGGTTGGGAAGACTGCCATTAAACAAAGGACTTCATGGAAGCCTGTACAACTACAGTAGTGAAAGTATAACAGAGAAGTAGAAGATGCTAAGAACAAGAGACAACAGAGGAGTCTGATTGCAAAGTTAGGAAATGCTTTCCTGATGGAGTGACATTTAAGATGAGCTCCTAAACATGGGTAAGAATTATCCAGTTAAGGAGAATGACAGAAAGGGATGGAGGTTAGGATTTGTATCAGTCAGGACTGTTGGCTATAGGGACAGAGAACCAAACTCAAATATACGGAGAGGGGTGGGGGGAGAAGGAGGAAGGAAGGAAGGAAGGAAGGAAGGAAGGAAGGAAGGAAGGAAGGAAGGAAGGAAGGAAGGAAGGAAAAAAATGGCATTGGAAGGAGGATATGTTGGTCCTCACAACTGGGAAGTTTAAAGAACTAAACTAGCTTTAGCATATCTGGCCGGAGTCTGTATTTCCATCTCACACATTACATCAATTTCTCTGTTATGCTCACCTTTCCAGTCTGCTCTCCTAAGTCAGTCTGTCCCATCACATGGGTGAGATGTCTTTTAGAAGCTCCAAATTCCCAAAGGAATGAGCAGGTGTACTGCATTGCACAGTTCCAAGGGCCCCATCTCTGTTGTATTCTGTGTGCCTCCTGATAGTGTGCAATATGTAACCCCTCAGAAATCACCCCCCCCAAGAACCAAGTCTAAGTTCCATCTCACTGCAACAGGTTTGAGCTATAGGTGCATCCTTGAATTTGAGGTTAAGGTAAGGACTGGAGAGTGGTGATGGTGGTGGTGGTGTTTAGGGGAGAATCAGCTAATCAGTCAGGGTGTAGTCCCATCTACCTTAAATGATGGACACAGTGGTAAAGGGACAATGCTCTAAGCAAAAGGGGTCTATTACCGGAAAAAGGTGGGGGGCCTACTGATGGTACAACAGGACACACAAATGTCCTTTTCAAGATAAAGAAAGAGAGCTTCTTTATAAAGAAAGAGAACAAGTGATTAAAAGTCCTGAGGTTAGGGGCACCTGGGTGGCTCAGTCAGTTAAGTGTTGGACTCTTGATTTCAGCTCAGGTCATGATCTCACGGTTTGTGGATTCAAGCCCTGTACTGGGCTCTGCACTGACAGTGCAAAGCCTGCTTAGGATTCTCTCTCTCTCCTCTCTCTCTGTCCCTCTCCTGCTAATGTGCTCTCTTTCTCTCTCTCTCTCAAAATAAATAAACATTAAAAAAAAGTCCTGATGTTGGAGGGAACTTGGTCCAACTAAGAAATCAAGTAGAAAAATACAACATGAGAAATTGGGCTACTTTAAGTATTGCTAGTTTCTTCAACTAACCAAACTTTCTGCACTTGTTCATGCCTAAGAGATCATGGTCCTTTCAAAAGTAGAGTGTTCTGAATAGGATTGAAGGAATGCAATATAAAGAGGGGGCATGCCTTTCCTTGCTTGGACACTATAGTAGAAATAGCACCTCAAATTGAGCCAGGTCTTAGGGCACCTGGGTGGCTCAGTCACTTAAGCATCCAACTCTTGGCTTTGTCTCAGGTTGAGATCTCATGGTTTGTGGGTTCGAGCCCCACATCAGGTTCTGCACTGAGGGTGCAAAAGCTGTTTGGGATTCTCTCTCTCCCCTCCATCTCCACCCCTCTTCCACTACAGAGAGAAAGAAGGAAAGAAAGAAAGAAAGAAAGAAAGAAAGAAAGAAAGAAAGAAAGAAAGAAAGAAAGAAGAAAGAAAGAAGCTTAAAAAAAAAAAAAAGAGCCGGGTCTTTAAACAAATAGACATCTGGCCCTTATGAAGGTTATGATCAGCTAGAACCCCTGCAGCTTCGTTATGCAACTTAATTTGCAAAGCCCCTTTACCATTTCCTGTACTTACACAGATACTTTGTTCTTAAACATAAATGTAGTACTTTATATTTGGTTCTCTTTAATTTAACGTTATTGGTATTTGACCAGCATTCCAGTCTGGCGAGATCGTTTTTATATTGCTTCTGTCACCTCACATCATTACATATCCCTCCCAGTTTTGTGTCACAGTCATATTTGATAAGCTTGTCTTCTATGTTTCATTTAAGTAATTAATGAGGGCTGGGCAAAGGACAGAACATCTGACCTGCCACCAGAATGTTCCTTGCCAAGTTTGCAGTCACTAACCCACTCTTTTTCTTTGGAGGGTATGAGTATTTAACTTGCTGCAAATTCCCTGAACACTAACAGTGTCATTTCATCTCACAATCATAGAGATTCTATTTAATCATTTTATCTAAATCAAGATAACTAGTCTCTGGCTTTCCTATGAAAAAGAAAATGAGATTAGTTTGGACGGACTCATTTTCTGTGAATGTGAATAGTAATGTAGGGGTCACAGTTTTATTCAAAACACTCATAAAATATCCTCTCTCCTTTTATGATGAATGATGATTAAAGCAGGTAGCATGAGGCCTGGCACAAGCTAGGGCATGGCCCAATGGCTATCATCTCCCCAATCTCTGGTGTCCCCGTCTGAGAGATTCCTCTTTGTTGACTATGTCGGTGGCTTCTAGTGTTCCCTGAGACCTCACCACTCTTCCTGAGTTTCCTCTACCTCACTCCTCCCAGGTGGTGGCCACCACGGTGATGCTGGAGCGGAAGCTGCCTCGCTTCCTGTGGCCTCGCTCTGGGATCTGCGGGTGCCAGTATGGGCTGGGGGACCGCTGGTTCCTGCGGTGAGTGACTGTGACTGTGCATATGTGTAAACTACTAACAAGCGTGGGGCCATGGGAGTAGGATGACCAATTCCACATTTATCACACATCTTTCCATCCCCGAGATCCCCAGCTGGACCCAAAGGTGACATCATCACTCTATAAAGTGAGACTGCATTGGCCTGTTTAGGGGAGGGGGGGTGGAGCCGACGAGAAGGGTGACAAGATGGCTGATAGCTGATGCCAGGCTGGAGTACATCAGGGTAGTGATGTGTGTGAGGTTATACACGTGTCCATGCTCACATGTGGGCACGGGCTACCCAACTTGTTCTAGTCTTGTTCCTAGCTGACCCTCATTTCTAGTATGTTATTGCCCTGAAGCTAACCTTCTTCATACTCTACCTTCAGCTCCTGACCTGGCTTCTCTCTCTCTTGCTCTCTCTGTCTCTATTTTTAATTTCATATTCACGATCACATCATAAACACACACACACACACACACACACACACACACACACACATACACGCCCCATTACCTCCAAATCCTGATTGCTTACCTCGTTGGTCTCTATCCCACTTTGCCCTCCATTCCACTGCTCTTCCCTTCATTTGATCCTAGGACTCTGGACCTTTCCTTGCCTTGTCCTTTGGTCCTGTTTCCTACAGTTGCTCTTCCCACCTCTCTTCATGGCCCTTTTCCCTTCACCTCAACCGAGTCCCTCCTCCTTTGCCCTCCTCAGAGTCGAGAACCACCATGATCAAAATCCTTTGCGAGTGCTTCGCTATGTGGAAGCTTTCAGGGGCTCAGACAAGGAGAATGGACAAGAACAGCTTTCTGAGAAGCAGCCTTCTGTTTCTGTGACCGAACGTGAGACCCTAGCCAGAGCCTCTCTGCACCCCCCAACCCCGTCCCTGTCCCGGACCACGTCTCACAGCAGCAGCAGCCACCGGGGCTGGGAGATCCTGCGTCGCAACACACTAGGACACGTGAACCTTGGGCTGGACCTTGGTGAGGGGGATGGAGAGGAAAATATCTATCATTTATGATGAGGACCCCTGTCACTGTTGGCCTGACAAACGGGTGGGCCTAAATGGAGGGAAGTATCTGATTTTATTTTACTTTTTTGCCTGTTAATCATGAGAGGGGGTAAACAGAATAATTCTTAATGGTCAAGTCTCACCCTCCACATCAGCATTTCTGGAGATGGGCAATGGACATCTGTTGCTCCACATTCCTTCTGGTTTCCTGGGAGTCTCACATCTTGAGGAAAGACGGTATCTCTTCAAGCAAAGCTGGACTTAGCCATCCAAGATGTGAAGTAGGGATGAGAGACTAACATCTGGATCACCTTTCTTTCTGCCTCACATAGGCACTAGAAGGTAGTTACCTGTGAAGACTGCTTGGTTCCACACGGCTCAATGTGGGAAGAGCCAAGCATGGCACTGAGATTATGTCCCTTCCCTTTTCCCCTGTAGGACCCTCTCCCACCCAGCAACCAACCCCCAACTAGAAAACTACAATAAGAAAGCTTCTTTACCCCTGCTTTATTTTTCAGAGATTTTATTGTGGGAAGATACACATCACATAAAGTTACTGTCTTAACCATAATATTTAGGTATACAATTCAGTGGCATTAGGTACATTTACATTGTTGCATAATGATAACTACTATTCATCTACAGGACTCTCTCATCATCCCAAACTGAAACTCTGGTACTCATTGAACATTAACTCCTCACTGTCCCCTCCACACAGCCCCTGATAGCCAATATTCCACTTCATGTCTATGAATTTGACTCCTCTAGGTACCTCATATAAGTCAATTCATTCAATATTAATCCCATTGTGTCTAACTTATTTCACTTAGCATAATATTTTCGAGATTCATCCACATTGTAGCAAGTGTTAGAATTTTATTCCTTTTAATGGAAATAATATTTCATTGTACGGACATGCCACATTTTATTTATCCATTCATCCACTGAGAAACATTAAGGTTGTTTCCACCTTTTGGCTATTGTGAGTAATACTGCTATGAACATTGGTGTATAATTCTCTTCAAGTTCTTGCTTTAAATTTCTTTGGGTATATCCTTAGATGTGGAATTGATTGATCTTATGGCAATTATTATTTAATTTTTTGAGGAACTGCCACATTTTGTTGCTGTTTTTCTTCTCTCTCCTTCCTTCCTTCCTTCCTTTCTTCCTTCCTTCTCCTCCTCCTCTCCCTCCTCCTCTTCTTCCTCCTTTTTGATAATAGCCATCCTAATGGATACGAAGTGGTATCTCATTGTGATTTTGATTTGTATTTCCCCAGTAACTAATGACAATGAACATCTTTTCATATGCTTATTGGCCATTTGTATTTGGAGAAATATCTATTCAAATCCTTCATCTATATTTGGATTGTGTTGGGTTTTTGTTGTTTTTGAATTGCCTTATCCTTGCTTTTTGAGACTCAGAGTCTAAAGTGTTTGTATCTTATTTGTGTCCAGATGTATGTTTAAATAAGTGTGGTAAATTATGCCTTTCTGTGCTTGAACAGCTCAATCATTTCTTTATGGGACTGTTCCGGGTCAGTCCCTCAGGTGGCTCATTAGCGGCTAATCATCATTGTGCCTGGGGGTTGCAGACTTTGGGCTGTGTCTCCTGCAGCAGCCATCTTTTGCCCCCACCTCCCTCTGCCCCTGTGCTGAGTTTTGGGGGTGGACGGCAACAATGCAAGATGGGCCATCTCTCTCCAGGGAGGAACCTGGGCACAAGGTGTCCAGGGCACCCAGTACCAGGCTCTTGACAGGCCCCCTGTTCTCTCCAGTCCTTTACATCTCACCCCAGCTCTAATATCACCCTCACCCAAAAGCCATTAGAACTTTTTTTTTTTTTTAGTGCTAAAACATTTACTGAAGATTTTCAAATCTTTCAAAAATGTTACAAAAAGTGAGCAAACCCAGTGAAACTAATGACAGGTTCGACATTGAAAACCAGTATCTGGGTAAATCCATGCAGGGGTGTGGGGAAAAGGGAATATCTATGAGTATCTACTATGATCAAATAAATCATTTTTACGATTTACGATGATTTATCATTTACTATGATCAAAACACTGGATTAGCCATTAGAACTTTTAAGAGGACTGTGGTCTAGAATAGCAAAGAGGTAAGTGGGATTTGTAAAACCACAGGCAGGTTCATCCAGCTACTCATACAAAGCATAGATGAGTGCGGAACAGGGAGGGGTCACACGAAGATACAGGCACAGGGTCCTGCACACTGGACCACCGGTGGTATGATTTTTTAAAAGTGCTTAGTCATCATGACTCCTCTTATTTTCCTTACAACGGAAGCAGTTCCTCTCTTGCATAAAGCTAAACTCCCATCTGAGTCCCAGATTCAGTTTTCTTTCTGTCTCTTCAGACCTCTGTATCCATCACTGTTCTCTCTCTACTTCTCATTTGTGTATCTCTTCCCCTCCCTCCCCCCGGGCTCCAAGGATCAGCAAATAACCATGCTCTACTCTTTCCCCGTCTCCAAAGAAATGGAAAACACCCTCCCACAGCCCTTCCTCCTTTCAGCTGATGCCCTAAATTTTCTACTCCCTATTCAGGGCCAAACTTCTTAGAGAAGACTTTATTGTCTACTGATCTCACACTGAGTCCTCAGCCCATTGTGATCTGACCTTGCCTCTCCATGCTACTGACATCTGTGAGGGAAGCTATCTACCTCTGGCTAAGCCCACTGAAGAGTCTCAGTCTTGCTTGAACTCTTGGTGGCCTTCAGACTATAGTCAACTGCTTACTATCTCTCAGAGAGTCAGTGCCGTACACTCCTACTTCTTCTACCCTAAGCCTCTGTTTTCCTCACCACCTGGGCAGTCTCACCTGCTTCTGTAGATTGTATTAACACGCACATGTTCATGACTCCCCATTCCCTATCTTTGGTTCACATCTGTCTCTTGAGCTCCAGGCATGAACAGTTTGGATGCCTATCTATTAGACAGCTGAACCTGGATATTTTACAGACACCTCAAACTCAACATGTCCCAAACTGAAAACTGAACAGCTTTTTTTTCCTCACCAAACCTGCTCCTCCACCAGAGTTCCTGACCAAATAACAGGCAAAGTTGCCTAAGCCACAACCTGGGCGTCATCCTCAACATGTTGCTCTTGACTCCTAACTCCGGTAAATCTCAAATCTTGTGGATTCGGTTCCCTAAAACATCTGCTTTGAAAGGAATTAATTTTGCTTAGGTAATATATCACGTAGCACAAAATTCAAAGAGCACACAAGAAATACATAGAAAAAAAGCTTTCCTACTTTTGTCCTGGCCTCTTGGGTGTTCTCTCCAGGGACATTCACCAATAAAAGTTTATTTATCCTTCCAAGAATACTCTGTATATCCAAGCATATGGATGCCTATATTCCTCTTAAAAAGACATAGAATGGCGCAGTTTGTTAGAAAAAAAGTTTTTGGTTTTTTCACTTAATACAATTTGAAGATTATTCCATACAAATATAAAATCTTCCAGTTGTCTCTGCCTCTTGGGACCCTACTGCATTACAGAAGGAGGTTCCTAACTGCTCCCTTCGCACATAGTCTTCTTCAATCCATCATCCACACTGTGGCCAGAATGATCTTTTGTAAGATGCAACTCCTGCCCCTAAGTGTGGTCTTCTGGAAGCCCTCCATAAGCCGACCCTGGGCAACCCTCCAGCCTCCTCACACCTCTCTTCTCTCAGGCTCTATTTCACCATGCTGGATTTCTATTAGTTCCTGGATAATGCTGAGTTCTTCTTCTTCTTGGCCTTCACAATCTCTGGACCTTTCTACCACCCTGCACCCACTCTCCTTTCCATTTTTGTAACTTCTATTCACCTTGCTGGTCACAGCCTCACGGTTGTCCATCGGTTGTGTGTGTATTTGTGGGGATGCGGACCCACAGGCAAGGTGAAAGTCCACCTACTCTGTGTTTCCAGACTCCCTATATTTTCTTTTTAATTACACATCCTGCATCTTATTGTACTTATTTGTTCAATGTCTGTCTTCCTTAGTAAACTGTAAGCTTCACAAAGACAAAGATGGTGTCTATTTTATTCATCATTGGGTTCACAGTGCCTGGCGTAATTCCTAGTACAATGTAGCACGCCATAAAGATTCATTAACTAGATCTATGAATGATTGACCTGTTCTTATTCTAAGCTCTCTCACTGGCCACACTTGAGTCCTTTTCCCACCTGTCAAAGGTGGTATGAAAACACTTGCCTTTGAGTGGGGTTATAATAATTAAAGATAAGCACATAGTATGGGTAGAAACGCTTTGGAAAGGATAAAAAAACCAATGCAAATGTAAGTGATCATTGGGAAATTTTTTCAGGCTAACTATATGTGAGAGAGAGGAAAGGAGAGAGAGAGAGAGAGGAAGAGAGGGAGAGAGTGCGTGAGAGAGACAGAGAGAAGAGAGAGCGAAGGAAGAGGCTGAGGAGGAGCAGGAGGAAGTGATGTGCAATATCATAATGAAGAGAGAAAGGAGGGAAGAACCCCAGCAACAAAGCTCTGGAAAGGATCTTACTGAGCCTCTCGTGTGTGGTACCCTCTAAAAGAAGCATTCAAGGCAACAGACAAAATTCCACACCTGCCCCCGGAGCCCAGATGAGAAAGGAAAGGAAACACACCCAGACATCGCTAGTCGCACAGCAGATGCAGCAAGTGAACTGTGTGCTGAAGGGGTAAAATAGCTGGCAGATGTTTTGCGGTGCCAGGCAGATGCCAGCTTTATTTACGGGGCTTCAGAGACGGAGTTGGGGACCGGGGCGAAAGGAATGTTGATGGTGCTTCCTCAGGAGTTCTTCGGGTACCTGCAAACGGTTACAGTTCTTCTTCCCTGTCTCCCCGCCCCCCGGGTTACTTTAAAAGATAGAAAGCAGAAAACTTGCTCCTGTGTGCTTCATAGACCAGAGGCAGGGAGCCACAGGAGGGTTTGTGGTCACAGGTATCCCTGGACTTTAAAAAGTATGTCCCTGCCCTGCTGTTTGCATTGGCAAGTTGTATTGACAAGTGTTTTATTGACAAGTTTCTGGGTTCTGGTAAAGAATGGTGGTGTAGCCCTGAAGAATGGCC